CACAAGTACTGAAAATTTGGATAGATTGATAGACTTTTTCAAAATCATTCTTAAGGGTAGTTTATTTCCTCTTCCTCTCCATTGAAGCATATAAAAATGTATTCAATAAATAAGCAACAGAAGGACAATCAATCTAATATCAAAGTGACTATGGAGGTAATGCTAGGACTCAATTTGTGTGCTGACATTCAGGAATACAAAGGACTCAGGTCAGAGACTGGAGGTAACCTTCACATTAAAAAAATCCTTCATCTATTAGGGAGAAAGAATCCTCTCTATTCTACACAAGGGAAACAGATTGAAAATCGTAGTCCCTCAAGAATCCCAAAACCATTCTACAAGTTTTGAAGAAAGCTTTATTCCAAACTCCAGAGTTCACAACATATACATGCACAATGAATATTCATGTTAAGGAACTGAAATAAAGATGCACACCACATTCTCAAATTTCTAAAATTGTTTTGAGTCACAGACAGGTAAATTAAAAATCCTTTCTGTATGACAATAACTTCAAAGGTAAATAATGGAAAAATAGGAAAGCTGACCCTTCCTTGTTGTCTTTACTTAAAGCATTTCTATTTGATACTCAAGACAACCTGTAAGTGTTTGTCACAGAAACCTAAGAGGACATAGACTCTAGGAATGTAAGAAATGACCAAAAACTTCATATCCAAAAGGTACAGCTGAGTTTTGAACTTGGAAATATCTGCCTCTGAAGGTCAGCCATGTACCACGATGACACATTGACTCCCAAATGAAGATGGGTAAGGGTGCTTTGAGTTCTTCATGGATATTATCTACAACATGGAGCAGTATTCAGAACATACCTAGATGTACGCATTGCAAAGAAGTCCTTCTTAATCTAGTCTGTAGTTAGGACACAATTTTTCATCTCACAGATTCTTACAGTAGTAATTAAATGATCCTTGTTTTGTATCATGTGTGTTTTCAAACTGCTATTAAAGATCCTTACTCAGCAGACTTTGCATCTTTTGTCATTTCACTGTTAATACTCGACAGACATGGGCAGCCCGGGGGAAAACGCAGATGGTCCTATGGAACACAAACCACAGCAACATATGGCACGCATTTACTTCTAGCAAACTGTGCTTCTTAACCTCTGGGTGTCGCTCCACCATTCCCTCATAAGGCCACTCATTTCCAAGAAAGGTTCCCTTTCCAAAAATGAAGCAACAGGCCCCACATGTGTTGTAGGCCACTCAGATGCATGGAGTAGTTAGCATTTAGCACATCCTTTCTGGCACTGTCCTGTGTTGGTGAGCTGTCTCCCCTCAATTGTCAGCCCCTCAAGGGCAAGTGCCATGCCTGCCATCTCATTTTACTAGCTGTGCATGGCAGAGTGACAACTGTCATGTAGATGGCATGAATGGTCTATAAATAGCTCTCGTAGGTAAGTCTCCTAACTATATTGTGACATTTGCCACATCTTCAGATGAGGCTAAGCAGTTAACTAGAATCACACACTGGTAGGCAATATTTTCCTCTTGCCCAGAGAGGGAAGTATTTACTCCTTGTCTTGCACTACTTAATTTTTTTCTCAGATTCATATTTCAAAGCTCAATGCTTTTGACCTCTTTATAAAAACAATTGTCATGTAATGCTTTTTATACATGTTCAAGGCACTCTTCAACCTAACAACTCCATGGGACAGACACTATTTTTATATTTGTTTACAGATAAGGAAACCGAGACCTGGAAAGATGAAATCATTCAAAACCACTGGGCTGGTCTATGGCAGCAATGAGATTGGAACCTAGGAAGTGTGGTTCCAGAGTGCATGAATAAAGGCCTATAGAGATCCTTGCTCAGGACATGTGAGCAGTTTATTCATCGAGAAAAAAAAAAAGTATGCTTGCTGCTCCCCATGTGATTTATTTGATTATATTCTAAAACCTTTCCTCATGCCAGTAGAACTCCATGTTAAGTACTATACTAAATTTTTCTGTACTGAATGCATATGCAATGCTACCTTGACTGATGTGTACAGTGCCCCAGGATGTTGCTTGCTTGCTTTGGGAGGGAAAGACCTGAAAGTGTTGCCCAGGCACAGAAGTGTCTACACTCACACCCCAAGTCTTTCTTGGGGATCTTCATGTTTCTTATGCAAGAATGCTCTCTGTCTGAAATATTTCCATTTTCCCTCTTTACCTGAGCCTTTTGATTTTTTTCATTTCCAGCTACTTTTTCTTCAAGCATAGGGCAAGCAAGCACTTGCTTGCAATGTAATGTTTAACACTTTTCATGTTTTTATTTCAGTTGTCTTGCCAACATGTCAGTAAACATCCATACATATTGTAAAGATTTAAAATTTGGGGTGTGTATACATGTATCAACAGGAGTTATGAATTATGTATATCCCAAGCCTATATAAATTCGATTTTAAAGAACAAGCATCACAGTAGTCAAGCAGATCATAATACAATATTCCATGTGAAATGTTCAAACTACCTTGAATAAATTATCCATAAGTTAACACTCTCATTAGAATGGCATATTTATTATCTCTGGGTTTGTGATGTTGCTTTAATGCATTTTGACTAACTGTTCTAATGGCGCATTAAGAAGCTATTTCAGGCCTTTTCCCCCCTATTGGAATTTGCAGACTTTTATTTATGTTTTGAACTAAAATAATAGAATGTTAAAAACAATCAGCCACTTTCCGATGTAGAACACCATTTTATTCTGCCCAGAAACATTTAATTAAAGCAGGATATAACTTTAGTAATTATTTTTGCACAGAATGACTCTAAAATTAATAGCCAATTGTAAGACTGTTTAAAAACTGGAAGACTGACAATCAAAACAATCTTAAATGCTTTGTTTATGTGTTGAAAAGGAGTGGTTCTTTAATTCCCTGACACACATTAAACTGATTTCACTGACTTTCTGTACTGGTGTTTAACATAGTCAAGTGCTTGAGGTTATGTAAAATAAATAATCTTGAGATCTTATTGCAAATGTTTGCAATTTATGATGTAAACTGATTTGTGAAGAAAAAACAGGATCCCGTGTTGTTGACGCCAAAAAGGCATTTTTCAGAAATCAAAATAGTTCCGAAATTTGAGCATTACATTTTACTAAAGCATTACCATCTGAGATGCTAAAAAGTTATAAATCTGGGGTCGGGGAACTCAACAATAGATGAATATCCCTTCAGCTCCAAGCAAAGGCCTCCGATCTTCTTAGGACTCCTGGCTCATAGGGTCCTTAACACTAATCATGTCCTGGATAATCTCTTTTAACTGACTTTTCCCCAAGCATGGATTCTGCAACGTTGGCGGAGGTAGGGGTGGGTTGCACTCCTTGAAGTATTGGGGCAAGGATCCCAAAACAATATGCACGTCGGGAGTCAGGCCTTATCCAAAAGGAAGATTTCCTAGGCCCTTCTCTCAGGATGGTTCAGGGAAGTCGGATTCGGACCCAGTTCATTCAGACGCCCGCAGAAGAGTTTGGGCCATGGCGATACGGAAAAGCCTGCCCTGCGTGAGCGTGCGAGGAAGCCTGGACCCTAAGGGCCCTGCTCAATGGGGACCCGCAAGCGGCCGCTAGCCTCCGAGGGTTTGTCGGAAGCGAAGCGCGGGGCACAAGGGAGCGTCAGTCCTACAAACCACTCCGGCGGGTCCCGCAGGTCTCAGCCCGCGCCCGCAGCCCTCAGACTCCAGGCCCTGCGGGTGCGGTCCAGGTCCTGGCCGGTTGGGCCCGCACGCACCTCGGCCTCGGCTCCTCACAGCTCAGCGGCAGGGCGCCTCCAGGGTTCCACGGAGCCGCTCTCTCCCCTGCCCCGGGGGCCCTGGGCACTGTTGGAACCACGTCCGGGCTGGGTTAGGGCTGGGGCTGGAGCCTGCGGGTTCGGACGCCTAACCCCGGCGGCTACTGAGCTAGCCCGAGGCCTCAGGCCGCAGTGGGCGACGAGGCCCCTTCGGGGCGCACCAAGCCCGGGGGCAGATGCTTATTAAACACGCTGCAGAGTTCATCCGCCGCGAAACCCGCCAGGCCTGGCGCTGCAGGCCGCAAGCCCAGTCCCCTGGCCTTTGAGAGCAGAAATGCATTGCCCACATCTGGACTGCCGGGGCAACTCGGAGCGCGAGCTCGGCCGGGGCACGGCTGGTTGGTGACAGCGGGGAGTGCGGTGACAGAGCGAGAGGTTGGCCGCGCGATTCCAGGCACTTCCCAGCTGGGGACGCCGGCGGCCAGAGGGGACACACACACACACACACACACACACACACACACACACACCCTTCGCGAAGGGTCACTTCATCCTAAAGCCCGTTTCGGGCCTGGCCAAGTCTGTGTCTTTGCGTCTCTGCTCATCCGATGACCCTCAGCTCTTCTAAGCGTAACTAGTGGGATTTCTTCCAAAGGGGCCAAGAGATGGGGAGACCAAGCTCCTGTGTAGTTTGAGGACCAGCAAGGCCGAGCTTTTCCTAAAACACTGTCCTCTGTTCTGCTTTTGAACTGTACCTACAAGGCGATGAACAGAAAAGAGAGGTGGGGGACTCGCCTCCACTACGCTTCGCCCACTCGCAAGCCAGCGACAGAACACAATTCAAACCCAGGTGGATTCCGCGTGATCACTCTTTTCTTCCTCCCAAAATGTCCTCAAATAAACTTCAAGGGTGAAAGCATAGCAAAATAAAAAACGAAAAACTGTCTTGGGGAAGGAGGTTATTCTACTCTGTTACTTTACATATTACCTGTTCCCTTAAGAACTTGGCATAACCGGTATCTAGACTGGGTGCATTCCGTGGGGTGGGAGGAGAAGCGCTGGTGGTGGAGAGCCAGAGAGCCACAGAGCCACCACTCACCCCCGGACTGCTGCACGTAGGAGCACAGGAGAGTGCTTTTGCAAGTTGGTATATTCGAAATATAGTTACACATTCATCAACAAGGAAGAAGAAAAGACTATCCTGGATATTTTAATAGTAACAGGAACAAAGATGACGCGAACCCATCAAATGAAACAATGCTATTTTCATTCAATTGATCGCAAAGTGTCTTCGATTAATAACTTGGCACTTATTTAAAAGGTTTAACAGAGGTGGAGCCGAGACATTTTGTACTGACAACACGTCATGAGATAACAGCATCTTCTTTTGTTTAAAATAACTTAATACACTAGAAAAAATATGACAAATATAAATAATTTTGTTTTCATGGAGAACAAATAGTTACAAAGCTCAACCGCATACCAAAGTTCAGTTAGAAGAGCTTTTCTTCTTTCTTGTAAATTAGAAGGAAACACACACACACACACACACACACACACACAACTAAGAGGCCTGCTAGAGAATTGGGATGCCGATTGCTTAGTCGAGCATATCCCAGCATATCCCGGTTTAAATAGCTACATGAATTGAAACAAACAACCGGAAAAAGATTACTTGAATAGATACACCTTTGTGAGATAAAATGCAAATGTTGAAAGTCAACCATCAGTTCACACATTATAGCCAAAATAAATTTTGTTTGTGTGTATCAACATATTTTACACAAACCTAGTGCCTGTATCTAGCTGGGTGTTGTTTAAGGTGAATTTGACAGGATAGAGAGGGGGAAATAAAGCAGTGTCCTCAAATAGGACTTCAGGAAATCAGCAAGAGGGAATACAAGAAAAGGGGGGTGTAGCAAACTAACTCTGGTGGAGCGCCTACTAGGTGTCCCAGGATGCAAGGTGGTATACCATCATTATTTCATTTGGCCTTCTTTCTTTTTCTTTTCTCCACATTTTCTGCCCAGTTCTATCTTCTTGATACAACCAGAGTGTAACTTTTCCCCATTTCGATGTTTTCATTTTCCTGTGCCTCCCCAGGATCAAAGATGAGGCCAAAAAAACTACACATTTTATATATATATACATATATGTCTATATGTATATGTATAAATTTTCAGACGCTTTTCTACTGAAGATGAAAATGAACTGCGTGTACATGAGTGATGGTGGCAGGGGGAAGACACCATCAATGGAATACAAGTAACATGCAAACCAGAATTTACTGTCGCAGTCCGGACAGTTCTGCCATCATTTCCCAGAATCATTGTCTGTGGCATCACTGCATTGTATTAACATCATTTTTTCCCTTCCTTCGTTTTCATACTGTCTTCCCTCTTCTTGCTCTTCCATACGTGGTGGGTTTAAACTCAAAGCATCTGATTCAACGTAAAAGGAGGCCCGCCTCTCTTATCAAATTTCTCGTATTAAAGTGAACTTCGCAGAAAAGGTCAGTTTCAAAACCTGTGAACTTCCCAGCTGCGCATTTTATTCATCTTAATTCTTTAAATAAGTATACCTCTTCCGTTTTTGCCTTCTTCTTAGCCCATTAAAAAAAAACATACATTTAAGTTGGTAACTCCCTCCCCCCTCTCTCTCGAGATTCGTCCTGGTTATTTCCCCTTATTTTTACATGTATAAAATACTTTAATTTTTTAAAATTGTTTTGCTCCGTTTTTCTCTCTCCGATTTCAGCTTATCCCAAACAGCAATAAGAAGTTCCCGTTCTCCTTCTCTCGCTCTCTCTCTCTCTCTCCTCTCTCTCTCTGGTTTGTCTTTTCTATCTTGTATTTCCTCGTTTTATATTGTCAACAAGATTTTGTTTCTATGCAAGAATCCATCGTTGCAGCTTTGCTGAGCCGCATTGCGCTATGCCAGCATTCCCTTGTCCAGTCTCTTTCCAGACTTCCGCAAACTAGCTCCTATAAAGCCTTCTAGGCCCACGGTCTGTGGGTGGCCAGGAGCTACTGGGCTGGCGTGCCTCGTGCAGCCCGGGATCCCGTGCAGAGCCCGGCGCTCAGAGTCAGGGATGAAGAGAGACAAGGGGCGGCCAGCGTGGTGGAAGAGGGCAGCGTCGGAGGTCTGCAGGGCAGCGAGGAGCAGCGGGGCGAGGCGGTGCGGGCGCGCCCCTCGCAGGCGCGGTGGCGCTCTGGCGTCACAGGCCCAGGGCGGCTGCGTGCTTTTTGGCTTTCAGTCTGAGATCCGCGATGCTGGAGTTCTTGCTAGTGGTCTTGGCGGCGGCGGCCGCCGCCACCACCGAAGCAGCAGAGGCCGAGTCCGCGGCCAGCGTGGCCAGCGGCAGTCCGAAGGGCGGCGCCGGGAACATCATATAAGGCGCGTGCGCGGCCAGGTGCGGGTGCAGGTGGTGGTGCGCGTGCGCCACGGCGCTGTCCAGCTGCAGCTGCGCCTGAACCTGAAAGGACAAGGGCGTCACGTTGCAATGACTATCCTAGGGTGACAACAGAATAGAAACAGAGCATTAACAGCGTCCGGCTTAGCTGGGAAAGGGTTAGGGTCGGGGGGCAGGGAGGGGAGTGCGGCTGAGATCTTGTCTGGAGAGTGACTTTCTCAGCCTGTTGCTGAATCTGGGGCACCGTATGCGTACTGCAGTGTCAGGGGTCTTCAGGATTCACTCAATGTGGGGCTTTTCCCTGAGCCCCCTGCTCCCTGTCTGCAGAAATGAGGCTGCTCCTTGGGGAGTGGGGAGGATGAATGAGAGGGCCATCTATTTATATTGCTAGAACATGACCTCTGTCCCACTATTAAAGCTCTGAAGTGCCAACAAGCAAGCCACAAAACTTTTGTGACACTTAGGGAAATTATTGTATCTTCACCATAATTGACATAATTGTGAGTCAGTACTCCTAACTTTTCCTACCATAAGAATTACTTGGGAATCTTGTTAAAATGCAGATTCTGAATCTGCATTATTGAGTCCTGAGATTCTGAGTTTCTAACTATCTCCCTGGTAGTGCTGATATTGCTGGCCTTGGATCTCCCACTTTGAGTAGTAACAATTTCCTCTGGAGTTCCTCCCTCCCTCTTTCTTCAATCATTCTCTCTTATTTCAAAAGCCCACAACCAGATGCCAGAGTCCTGTGGTGCCAAGAGAGTTAAAATCTCCCTAACATTAACTCTTAATATATGAGCTCACCCAGGTGTCTCCCCAGTCTAGGGTGCAGGCGACTAGAGCTAATTCTTGACATCACAGCCTTGCTGAGTAGGGGTCCTGGCTGAGGATGGGGAAGGTCAGGCACTGGTTGGGAAAGGATTTTGCCCTCAGGCTTGGAAAGCGGGGAGTTCAGAGCACTGGGATTTCCCAGGATTAAATCATTGCTGCAGGCTGTCCTTTTAAAATGTAGTCTTAAAGGTTTCTTTATGGCTAAGAAAGGGATTGCAGAGGCTGGGCAGCCTGGGGAAGACCAAACCTTCCCTCTCCATTAGAGATGAAGCTTTGTTTCCACAGAAGCTTTTTAAAAACAAGTCTGAGTTGGTAGTATTTGTATTTATTTATTTTCCTTCTGTGGGAGGCATTTAATGTGACTAAAAGGTAGAAAATACCTATAAGAAAATATTCAGAGAGTTTCCTTAGAAGTGCCTGAGGACTAACCTGTGTGTTGGATTTGACAAAATCTTAATCAAAAGGCCTTTCCTTCCTCTCCCCAAGTGCAGTCTTCAGTGCATTTTGAAAGTATCAGTTACTACTCTCAGGCCCCTGCCGGCTTCCCATGAAAACATGACTAAGAATTCAGGACCATGACACTGTATAGGTTCTTAAAGAAGAATGGGTCCACTATATCATTCTGATTCTTCAACTGTGTGGACATTAGGGCTCAGAGATAGGGGGACATTCAACAGTCCAATCAAACATTCAGGTCTTTTCACATTTAAAAATAGCTTGAAGAGTCTGTACTTGCCTGCTGAAATGGCATCCGTAAAGCACCTACATTGACATAGGGTGCAACCCTACAAGCTTCAAACTGGCTAGCAGCCCCTATGAGGACACCTGTGAAAACAGGGGAACAAAACACAATGTGGGGTTGACATTTCCAGTGTTGTTCTCCAGGTTTCCGAATTGTACAAGCTAGAACTGATTCCTTCGAAATTGTATGGTTACCTTTCTAAACTTCTGTCATACTTAAAATAAATGTGACTTACTCCCAAACTTTAGGACTTTCTGTCCTTCTCAAATCAAGGACCATCAATGTCTGAAATTTATTTTGTTTTCCTAACAACAATAACCCTCTTTTTCACTTAGAATATCAAATGTTTCTTGTAGGAGAAACATACCTTTGTGTAGTTGATTTTCTTGTTTTCTACATTTAGCTCTTCGATTTTGAAACCAAACCTACAAGTTGGGGGGGGAGGAAACACCTAGATGTTATGACTCAAAAAATGTTTTAAATTACAAAAGAAAATTACAACAACAACAAATCAAAGAGCAGTGTTTTAGGTAAGAGTTGGGAGATATAACAAGCGGTCTTTGAATTATATAAAATAGCCTCAATTTCCAAAATTAAAAATGTAAGTAAATAACAAAATAGAAAGGTTTCATAGACTTTTGCAAGATAAAAACATTTCCTGGCAAATAATTATTGGTCCTGGTTTCATCTTTCCATAGAGTCCCCAAGGCCTCAAACTCTCTCTGGTACCTGACACCACAGTGATAATGGGTTTAAATGTTTGCTCAGTTAAAACCTGAGAGGAATGGGCTAAGTAATAGCTTGTAACACTAATTAGTTTCATCTTGAAGAAAAACCAAACACTAAAGCAAATAATGCCTCTTTTGGGGGGAGGGATATTGTAAGGAGGGAGAGGTAATTAGTGACATATAGGGCTCACTACAAAGAAGTTTAGAATTTTCTCTGCTCCTCTGTGCAGCAGAGGGTAACAAAGTAGCAGAATACTTGTGCCATTATCATGATAATCTAATTTGCTTCTATAGAAAAAGCCGAGGCTTGCAGTTAGGACAGTAGGGAAGCTTGTAGAAAATAGCTCTAAAACATAAATGAAAGTATAAAAAAAATCAAGAGCAACAATAAGGTTCACTCCTTAAGAGAAACAGAACACTCTGTGAAAGTGGGTGGGGTGGGGGGAGTCAGGTAACTCCTGGGCTCTATTTTCTGGGTATTACCATCTTAAATAACTTGCTAACTTTTAAAAGCAGGGATGGCAGATTTTTAAAAATTCAAATAAAACTTGCTTTTATGCTCCAGGTCCAATAAATACAGCATATTGATTGATTTACAAATTAATGTTTTAAAATCCCATGAAAGGAAAATATTGCTTCAGAGCCTTTTCTGGTATGTGTTTGAAAGCAAGTGCTATGGTCAATGTAAATCTTCAAATATTCCCCTGCTATTTAGTATAATAGAAGGGTGGATTTCATGCCACGGTGACATTCTTTATGCAACTCACATGGCCTGAGGCTTCTTGACTCTTTTCCCCTGGAAGAATGGAATTGAGATAGTAATACTCCTAACTGTAATAATTATCATGGTTTTAAGGGGGTGTTGAGCCTCTAGAGATCTTAGTATGTAGAGCAAAGCAGGAGAGGCTCAGAAAGGGAGGCCCTGCTGTTGGTGCTATGATGACCAAGCCTGCCTATTATTACTCTTCTTCAACAGTACGGCTCTGTTTCCCCCCACCCCTGATCCTATTACAAGATGCGGGGAAGCCCCATAAGAATTGCGCATAGTTCGCTACAGATGGTGGTCTCTGCGCCCAGAGACCCGGGGAGTATCTGTTACAGCCATACTTTGTAGCAGCTGCAGATGTTCGAGCCTAAAACTGCTCCATGTGTTCAAATAATGACCATCATTTTCTCCTCTTTTATTATTTGAACGGAAATACAATCTGAAACGTTTGAATTTGTTCCCCATAAAACTGGAAGGATATGTATGTATGTGCGCACATATATAATTTTCCCCTCTTAAATGCTCCCAAAGCCTACTTTTGCTATTACATCCACCTCAACATCCAATAAAGAAATTCTGCAACCATAACTTCATGGGGGATGGCACTGGTTGAGTTAAGGCTTCGGAAATGCCAACGGTAAAATCTGTGGGATGTTTTAAAATTTAAAATCTCTTTCTTTCGGCAGGTTCCTTTCGGCAGGTTCCTTTCCTTGCCTTGAATAAGCGAACAAAGAGTGACCAAATGCATTTATTTCTCCACTGTTTCACATACGGTTTGGGATTGACCGCTAACAGTAGACTGTAAATTTCTGCACTTAACAGTTGCTAATTTCCTTTATAGCCTGTACATCTATAAACCTAATTGGCATATCCGCTTGGCAAACCTAGACCCCGGAACAGACCCTCAACGAAAACCCGACTCGGGCGAGTAAAATACTCTTTGTAACTTTTTAAAGGCATCCAGAGATAAAACGTTTTCCGTGGGATTTTTTTTTAAGCCTTATAAAAGTAGGCCCATTAGGATTAAACCACATTAAAGCCAGAGCGAGGCGAGGGGGGGGGGTGTGGTTTATAGAAACTCTGGGAGCAAGCCCAGCACAGCTCTCTTCTGTGGGGAACATATGTTGAGATGGGATGGGGGGAAGGGGCCATAGGACTAAGATCTACTCTAGAAAATAAGACCCTATACAGACATTCCTCCCCTTTTCACCTCATATCAGACACTCCTGTGTGTCCCCCACCTGCCTGTCCCACCCTAGGCGTATCGCTCTGGGCTCCCTGGTCGCATCCCAGATCTCACAGTCCAGTACCTGCACTCTGGCCTCCGACAGCCCCAGTCGCTGGCTCAGTTCCTCGCGCATGAAGGCATCCGGATAGTGGGTCTCGTCAAAAAGCCTCTCCAGCTCGTTGAGTTGTTCCAGGGTGAAATTGGTCCGACTTCGCCTCTGCTTGATTTTGGTCTGGCCTTCGTCCTCCATTCCTTTAGCATCCTCTTTGCGATCCTTCAACTCGGGGGACACTGGAGAGGGCACCACATACCGGACCACACGTGTGTCCATGCACACATACACCAACATATACACAGACAAAAACAGCACAGCAAACCCCATTACCAGATTTTCCTCAAAGAGGGGTAGAGAATCCTAACCCTTCGTGGAATCTCTGTCCTGCCCCTTGCCCTGCGGGGAGGAAGAGGATACAAGAGACGCACAAAGGTCACGTCTCGGAGGCTGCCAGTGGGCTTATGGCCACCCACCTCCTCCGCAATTTGGCCTAGGCTCACCGCCCCACTATCCCTCGCTTAGTCTCCTGCCTTCTCCCGCAAACACCAAATGTGTTCCACTCACCCTCTTCCGCACTCACTTTCCCACGCACTCACAGAAACCACAAGCGCCGCACCCGGCCTATCCCAGAGCGCGCTCTGGGTAGAAGGGCGCGGCGAGTCAGGGACTGGTCTTTCACGCCAGCCATTCCCAGAGTGCGGGCCTGTTGTCAGGCCAGCTCTCGCTGCCGCTAGCCCTTTGCCTCCCTCAAACTTGCTGGTCTAATTTAGGAACAATTGGGCTGAAGGACCGAAGGATCGTAAAAGCAGATTAAGACCCCGGTGCAGCGCTGCGCAGGAAGCCGACATCCCCCGGTGCTCCGCGTTGCCCCAGGGCTGGGGCCAGACCTTGTGGATGGTTCCACCGGCAGCCGGGCAGTCCTAATCCCCTTGCGGGACCCGGGTACCAGGAGCACAGGAGCCCACGCCATGTTGGCGGCCTGGAGGGCTCGCCGCCCAAGCCCGGCCAGAAGGCAAGAGGCGGAAAACCAGCCTCGGGTGGTCCACGAAACCCACTGCTGCCTCTGTTCTGTTCTTCTCCCTACCCCGTGGAAACGTAGACTCGACCCTAAACGCTTAAACCCACAGAGATCAACAGGTTCAAGAGGAACATTCCCAATCCTCGGTTTCTATTGGTTGCTCAAAGCCTTTTCATGCATCCAGCAGCACGGATGTTTAATAAAATATGCATTTTTTTTTTTTTTTACTCTGGGTCTGCACACATCCGTTGCTACTTTCCTGTTCTCTTCCCTTTAGAAACAGGAGTTCTGCATGTGAATACACAGAGCCACTGAAATGTGTGTGTGTGTGTGTGTAATTAACAAAAATTAGGCCAAAGGACAGTGATCAGAGGAGTTGCACCCTAGTGCCGACCTGAATTTTCTCTGCGCCTGAGTCAGCGATTAGGGTATTTAAAATATCAAAACAGAGTTTTAGATAATCCTGTCTGTTTGCAGTTCTTCCCAATCTAGGATCCGGATCAACATAAGGGTTAAAAATCATTTGCAGAAAAGCCGATCTACAGAGAAATTAAAACTTGCCCCGAGCTCAGAAATCAACAATCTCAGGAACTGTGCTCACAGAGATTTCAGACCCGAATCTCCCGAAGGCCTGGGGCTGTGGACCCACGGTTGGGAGGTAGCGCTGGGCACCCTGACAGTTACCCTATCACTTTCCAAATTTAGGAGGATCTGGTGATGGTTCTGGGAAAAGAACAGCCATAGATCTCACTCCAGTCTAGCATTCTGGATAGGATAATCTTAAGTGTTGCCCGCATTTCTGGTTCTCAGATTTCGTTTTGTGGGCATTTGTTTTTCCTCCAGGAAGGAAATAGATTAACATTATAGCAAACATTAGAGTCAATTTAATAGGGAAATAATCCTACTGATACTGCAGTGAAATTTAAACATGAAAACATATCATCAGATTCTGCCAAAGGGGCGGGAAGGCTTTGTTATTTCTTGTCATCCATACAGTGGATGCCCCTCAAAGTTTTGGGGCTTCAAAGAGAAAGAAGTCTACATTTCAAGTTGATTAATGGAGTTAATATAATTTCTATTTCGCCCCCAAATTTCCACTTAATGGCCTAAACAGGAACAGACCGTGTTATAAACAACTTAATTGCTTGCTTAAATATGTGATTCTACGCATGCCACATATTTTCTTAATTGGAAAAATATGGCTGTACACCAGTTACTGCAGCACCAAGTGCCAAATTAATTTTATTGTTGAACTCTTTTGAATTGGTACAGGACGCTTCACCATTTAGATAAAGCCATCTCCTAACACTTCCCTGGCACCAAAGGACCCCCTACACACACACACACACACACACACACACACACACACACACACTGAAGAACCGGATAATTGGGAGTAGTAAAGGAATTGTGTAAATATCGGAAGCACAAGTCTCAAACAGAAACCTCAACGTCTCAGCCGGGAGCAGAGCTCATAGCCTGGACCTTAGTTCGCCTTGGCTCGGTTCTGCCTTGAAGGCGTAAAGCGAACGGGAAGTTTTAGTCCCCAAGATCCAGAGACTCAGGGTCTCTGCGGAGTTCCAGGGTTCTTGGCCACAGTTCCAAAGCCGGCAGCTTCAACCCGAGGTCGAAGCCTCTCTCTCTCCCTCAGGCCTCGGGAAGAGGCTCCCGCAAACTCAGGGGAGACGCTAGCCTTAATCTGGCCGCCTGGCCCGCCCCTGCTAGCACCCCTTCTCGAAGCCCGCCCCGAGAACTTCCACGTCCACCCCCGGGCCGTCCGGGCTGCGGGCCCATCCTGCAGCTGCCAAAAACATGCATTTCGGTGCAATGGGAGCATCCAGGAAGAAGGATCCCAAATCTCACACCCTCCCCCGCACGAGGACCCCACCCACGACCGTGCACAACGCTGACCGCCAACCCCACGATCGCTCCAGTGCCCAGAGCCGGGTACAGGGCTCTCCCCGCGAGTCGCCCCTCCCCGCTGGGCCTCGGGGTCCTCTCCCGCCCGAGCCGAGTCGGGAAGGCGGGAAGGGGAACCGCGGCCGGGGTCAGGCCGTTACCCTCGGTGAGCCGCGGGCTGCCGGGCTCCCTGCTCCTCTCCGCAGCGCCCATGTCCAGCTCCCGGACGGGGGAGCGCCCTCCTCCAGCTCCTCCGCCTGCTCCTCCTCCTCCCGCGCCTCCTCCGCCTCCTCCGCCTCCGCCTCCGCCTCCTCCTCCGCCGCCTCCGCCGGCCGCCCGGACTGCCGGGCTGCTGCGGTCCTCACGGCCCGGCTCGCCGCCGCCCGCCAGCTCCTTGGCCCCGCGCAGCGGCCCGCTCTCCAGCACCTCCCGGTACGTGATGGCCTCCTTCTTCTCCTTCACTTTCTGGTCGAAAGACTTGGAGACGAACGCCGTAAGTTCCTCCATCGCCGCCGCCGGGCAGCCCCGCGCTCGACCGCTCCCTGCCGAGCCCCGCTCTTTTTTTCCTCCTCCTTTTTTTACTGCTCCAGCCCCCCCAATAATAACACATCAATGGGGCAGGGGTGGGGGAGGAGAGGGAGGAGGAGGAAGAAGAAAAGGAGAAGAAAGAAGAAAGAGGAGGAGAAGTAGAAGGAGAAAAAGAAGTAAGAAGAGGAGGAGGACGAGGAGGACGCGGAGGAGGGGGAGGAGGAGGAGGAGAGAAGGGCGGGGGCGCCGGAGGGAAATGGGAACTGATGCTTCCCTGCCGGAGCGCGCTTGTTCGATGTTAAGATCTTTGACAATTCTTCCTGCGGAGAGTTCAGATCTGATAGCGACGCTGCGCTTGAAGTCTCACTATTTATACTTCCTAAAGGCGGCCCCTTGTTCTGAGTAAATTACCTCCCCTCGCAACTCCGAGCGAGCCCCTTCCCGGGTAGCAGCCGCGCCACTACCTGGGGTGGGGTGGGGGGGAGCCAGGGATGAGAGAGAGAGAGAGAGAGAGAGAGAGAGAGAGAGAGAGAGAGAGAGAGAGAGAGAGAGAGAGAGATGGAGATGGAGAGAGGGATGATCGAGGTTGGAGTCCGCGCGGGCTGGAGTGGGAGGGCAGCAAAGGGGACCACAGGGGGCGGGGAGAAGAGGCAGGTCCCCGGCGGTCGGGGTTTTCAGATAGCTCCGGCCGCCTGTGCTCTTGGCCATTAATCCAGGATTGACAAGAATCCCTAATTAATTTAATTAGGCGTGGATTTTGCGTTGGTGTCACGACTTAGTTAAACACTGGGGAGCGGGATGGACTCCGCGGGGGCGGGGCTAAGAGGAGACCGACAAGTGCGCTGCAGGAGTGGGTCTGGTTTCTGCACTGGGTGTTGGACCCTGCAGCCTCGTCCGCTCTGGGGGTTCTGCGCTGAAGCTCGGCCTCCCGTTGCTGACCCCTGGTCTCTGCCCTGCATCCGAGTCTCTCATCCCTAACCTGCCGCCCTGGGTCCCGCAGATCCACCGCTCGGCGTCAGGCATCGTCCTGACTTCACACGCCTGCCCCGAATCAGGGTTCTCTGCAGCTTCTCGACCCATACACTTCCTTTTAGGAGCTTCCCGGCTATGCCTGGCTCCTCACCAGGCTCCTTGCCCCGGTCGATGTAATTCACCCTACGACCCCAGTCCTTTACGGGCAGATCCCGCTTGAAGGGCCCGGTCGATTTAACATGTTTCCTGAGCAGCTGTTCCCTGACAGATCCCATTTTAAAGTGTTTCCTTAGCTCCTGGTCAAGGACAGTTAGACTTCGTTTTCTCTCTGAGGTCCCAGGACTCGACCTCTCCTACGACTCCTTGCACCGGGACCCCTCCCACAAAGAACGACCTGGGTTTTTTTCCCCCCTGCATCCTGGGAAACATTCTAGTTGTTTTCCTGATTTTGAAAAACAAAAGAAAAACAACCATATTAAGTTTGAGCTTCGCTACTTTTGTTTATCGTGGACTGTTAAAAAATAGATGTTCTTGGAAAGAAAGATCCCCCCATAAGATTTAAATTTTTAAAATTATATTTTTTGGGCTGTTTTCATGGAAACCATTTGTTATATGGGAGGATCATCTATATTACCGAGTCATTTGTCTGTATTTTAGGACAAGGCTTGCTGTACAAATGCCTGTATATAGCCACAAAAGAATATGTACTCAGGAAAGTTACATTTACTTGAATGTGTAACAAATATGCTGTTTCGGGGACGTTTTTAAATACATTAAATATTAATACAGTTAAAAATAATTGTTCATTATCTTGGACCTCATACTATTAGTAAAAATAAAAACAATTACACATTAGAATGAATATATTCTACCCATTGATTAAAGGAGCAAAATGAACTTAGTTGATAATTTGAAAAGTTCCATCAAAACCACCTGAAACATTTGTAAAAAGAAAACACTATTATAATTTGATATATAAGGGTTTTCTCAAATATATGTAATTAGAGACTATATATAACTTTGTTATTCCACAATAATCCTTGGATTAAAATGTTCACATTTGGTGAATTTAAGAAATATGAAAATCATGCTTTTTAGAAATCGTTTTTAGGTATTTATGATTATAGGAGCATTTGCTTTTGTTACTCCAGAAGAGTCTCAAATTCTCAACCTTTCCAAAGTTATATGAATTTAGAAACAATTTCACATTGAGTTTTGGTCTACTATCTGTAATAATATTAATTTTGATACTATCAGAGGGTAATAATTATAGAAATGTTATCCTTTATGAAACTCAGTTTTTAGGATTATTTAGCATAATAACCAGTAATGGACTCAGTTAAAAGGATATGGTGTTTCAAGAGATCTCAAGTGAAGGTGTTAAATACCTATTCACAAACAGCTCCAAAATAACTTCTATTGGAAGTCTGATAAGGGATCCGGAGATCCTGCAGTTACTGCTTTGTCCTTTTAAGTAGATGACTTTTGAGTTTGAACTCATATTCCAAAACATAAATGAGAAGGCTCAGACACAACCGTTGTTTAATTGAAACCAATATATTTCCCATGATCACAGTTTATTGGTTCATTTTAAGTTAGAAATGGTAATGCTGACATCAGAGTGATGAGAAGTCTTCAGTATCTGAGCACAGTTTCCTACCAGCCTAAATGAAGTTTAATTTTTTAAAAATCCAACGTTTTATAATCATGTATTAGTATGTGCAATGAAGTTCTAATGACGTTATTTCACTGAATAGCAAACATTTTCTAGAGGCAGGATTTTTCAAAATGCAGCGTTGGAAAAAAATCATTGAGGGTGAAGCTCAGCTGACAGCCTGTGGACAGATATACAGACTCCAATAAAATTCGGAACCCCAAGGATTCCCCAGATCTTGAATTATTTAAAATAAATATGCAGTGTTGCAGATAAGTGTTAAAACCATCCCTCAAGACTGGCTAATTACACACAGTTATTTATGAGAAAGAAATGCATTGTGGTGGTGATTTTCACCATCTGATATCTGCAGAAAACTGTTAGCTTGATTATGTTGTAATAGTTGTGAATGAATTGGTTCTTATAGTGGCCCCAAAGCAAGGCTAATAGTTGATGTGCCTCATTAGCTTTGTTTACTTAAATAAAAATGATTGTCATACCAGGACAAGTAAGTAACATAGAATGAGTAATAGAAAATGCTAGATTGCTTTAATTTCTATTGATTTAAAATTTAAAATCTCCAAAACAAACTTCTTCTTCCCGCATCAGGCAGATTTCTCCTATTTCTCCACCAACCAGTTACTTGAGTCTTAGAAACTAATTTGCACCCACCCTGTGAGTGCCTTCACCTTCAGGGCAGAAGAAACATCGACTTTTAATGTATTTTTGCAAATAAATCATTGCAATTTAATCACACACGACTCTATACAGGCACACTCCCATGATTTATTATTGTTGGGCGAGTTTCCCCCTCCCCCAGCAGGAGATGACCAATTTTAGTACGTGTAGGCGTCTTAACATAACTTTCTACGAAGCTGATTTGTTTCCTGATTATCTGTGACGATAGAGGCAATCACTCAGGCGATTACATTCTCCAGTCCCACCTTTATTGCTTTTGGGAACAAGAAAATCCAATTATACACGCACGCAAAAGAAACACTAAACAAAAAATTGGCGTGGTGACAATCGACTTCCTCGGCGTTCTCACCTCTGGCAGCCTGCATCGATGCACTCGACAGATCAGCTGCCGCTGCCTGGCGAGGGAACCCGGAAGGCGCTGCGCTTGAACTGAGGCGAGTTCCGAGGCCGCCGGCGGCGCGGGGTCTGAGGAGGTTTCTGGGCGGACTCGGTACGGCAGGGGCGAGCCCCAAGCCCCGACCCAGGTGATGCGGGTGCCCCGGGCCCGGGGGCGACGCCCGAGGCCTGCTGGGGCTTGAGGCTGCGTGGGGCTGGCGCGGCCGGGGCGGGGAGCGGAGGCCGGGACTTGGAGGAAGGCCGGGGCGGGGAGCCGAGGTCGGGGCGGGTGCAGAGGTGGGGCGGGGCGGTAGGGTTCGGGTGGCGAAGGTAGCGGGCAGAGGCCGTCCCGCCCCCCTCTCCCAGACCTCGGCCTCCCGTCCTCTAACCCCTGCCTCCTATCCCGGCCTCCGGCAGCCTCCTGCGGGACGTAGGGATACGCGCCCCCAAGGGCCTGCGGGTGTCTACGGCTGTGGGCTGGGGTCACGTGACAGCCACGCTGCCCTTGAACTGCTGCTTTTGTGATGGCAGTGATGGTGTCCACAGTGCACGTTGACTGATCTTCATTCCGGGTGACTTTAGGGTCACTTCTCGCTCACATGCTGTCTTTACATATCGTTATTTTTTTTGGCACCGGGGATTGAGCCCAGGGGTGCTTAACCCCTGAGCCTCATCGCCAGCCATTTTTTGTTTTTATTTTGAGACAGGGTCTCGCCAAGTTGCCAAGGCTATCCTCGAACTTGTGACCTCCTGGCTCAGCCTCCCGGGGTGCAGGGGTGCCAGGTGTGCGCCTTGCGCCTGGCTAGACTTTGTATTTTTAAACACAGACCGGAAACCTAAGGAAAAATTTGTTTTTAAATTTCCAGAATTAGCAGTAACCCAGTTGTGTTCCACTTAATCAGGTAGTTAAATTCAATTGTCTAGTGCTGTCACAGGAAAGTATTCGAGTTGTCATTTTTGAGCTTAGATGTGAAGGCTCCAAGTGAAGGATTGGAGGAAATGTGACAGGTGTAACCTTGTGGGGAAATGAGGTATCCTTTGAGAGCTTCTCTAGTCTTAAAGTCTATAAATATTCACTCTCTTTGTAGGCAGAGGAGATTTCTTGCTAAGTGGTAGCACTTTATTGCCGTGTTTTGTTCAATAAGAGGGCTAAAATGTCTGAAACTGAAAGAGACAAAGGCACCTGGCACCTGTCTGTTAACTGGCCTCCACTAGTCCCAGAATACTCTGTGTGCGGGGCTGTTACAAATTGGAGAATTTCTACAGTAGGATCTTTCGGAAGGATTTATAAGTATATTTTCTGCTTTCATTTTCGAACCATTGGAGGAATTCCTCTTTAAAATAAAAAAGGCACTAATCTAGGA